TGGTCGTCCACTGATTCTAACCAATTACATTTTTCATACGACATTATAGAGTATCTTGTTAAAATATGAGAACCATACACTGAATACTTCATTTGAAAATTTCCATCATTTGTACTTCATATTCCGTATGATTCTTTCGATTCACAATTCCTTTCTAATCCCATTTCTGTGTTCTTCAAGTCGACCTTCATAACCTCCTACTGCCAGGTTTTTCACTTCCTATTCGTGTTACATACTACTTATATTGACAAACATAAGCAGCATACAACATAATTCAACGTTCTCCATAACTCATGGTTATCATAGATCAATCCTATTTGAAGTTATTCATGAGCATTGAGCTTAGTAAATTGAGTTGTCTCTCTCACACACACAAATATCTATACACTTTCGAATTACTTCCATAACTACATTTCTATCCGATAGTTTGGGAATTAGCCTTTAACCTAAGAAATTTCATCAGTCTGATATTTATACATATAACTATTGATATATAAAACAAGTGAAATATTTAGTTTTAATTTATTACCCAGTAATTACGTAACATTTAATAAAGAAAAGTTCGTAACTTACTCGTTTTCATGAAAGATGAAACATTACGGTTCATTAATTGAATTAATTCGTTATAGTTTAATAATTGTTAACAATGTATATTATCAGAATGGGTTTTGTGAAGATTTTAGAAATTTCACAGGTTGAAATCATGAGTCAATTGAAGCTAGACCACCATGGAAAACCTGGAGGCACTGGACGGCCGTTTCATCCTAGTATGAGACTCCTCAGCAATGCACATCCACGGTGGTCTAGCTTCAATTGACTCATGATTTCAACCATGAAATTTCTAAAATCTCCACAAAACCCCTTCTCATAATAATTATCTGCTCACTAGTGACTGACTTCAAGAGATACTCCTGGAGTTCTAGTGATAAGCCGTTACCCGTGGAGCTCAACCAGGCCGGTTGTGAGATATCAACTCACTGAAGACAATGAGGTACGGTGGCGCAACTTCGTGGATCGGTTGGAGTTAGACATTAACACTATTGGATCCCGGCTCAGTGATCTAGTGGTTAAGTGCTCACGCGCGAAACCAGTAGGTCCTGGGTTCGAATCTCTCAGGGGGCGTGATAGGGGTCACGCACTGCTGAAGAGTCCCATACTAGGACGAAACGGCCGTCCAGTGCTTCCAGGTTTTCCATGGCGGTCTAACAATGTACATTGTTTATTCATTCGAATGCTATTATGGTTGAAATGAACTTAGACAAGTATTTTTGTATTAACAGATATACCAAAACAAGATTGATATTCGTAATGTGTAGTATTTAAGGTAGTGAAGAGTAGTTTATAACATGTAATATGTGAATAGAATGATATAGAGAATTCTTTATTGATTTATATAAGTGTTTTTTTAATGATACTTTTTACTCTATTCAAATGTTAAAAAATTTAATTTCAGTTCCGCATATCATCATCATCATCACCACCACCCGAAATATCTACTTTAATCAATAGTTTCCATGGCCGTCTCGATTAGAAATCATAAATCGTGAGATGAGAATGGAGATTATTGATTAAAGTAGGTATTTCGGATGAGTTCTAATTAAATATGTGATTATTTAACGTATAGAATCGGAATTCTAAACTCAATGATACATACATACAAAGAGAAGTCTGGTAGTGTGTGATATTGCCGGCTATTGATATATATATAGCTTCCTAAATATTCAATCATATATGTTTACAGAATCCACATAACGCCATGTCATTAACCTTAAATGTGGAATATATTGAGTTAAATGGGAAAGATTGATTGAATAAAATATATTCTCTCTTGTTTTCATTAATTTGTTAATAGAGTACTTTAAATGATAATTATTATCGAGTTCAGTTAATTTGTCAAGGCATATATCAGCAAATATTTATTGTGAAACATAGTTTAGTTTATAATAATTGGTTGATCACTGGGTGGTGATCAATGTCATATATATCAGGTCCTTCTTAGTACAGATCAAATCTTATCGACTAACTACCATCTTATCTCAATGTAGTGAACACAAGGTAGAGTCACCTAGACTAGTGGTCACATTGTAACTTGGTCAATAGAATTCAATCTGTACTGAAAAGAGCCTGCCACGCATAACATTGATTATCAACCGGTAATCAATCAATTGTAAATACATCTCAACCCTACAGGAGGTTAGTAATGACTCGGATAACTCAGTGGTAACGTCTTTGACTGTGAAACTGGGTGACATGTTATTAAATCCGTCGGGGATTACCAGTTTCCTCAAGATTACAGGTACACCTTGCTAACGAATGCCAAGTATCATGAAACCTAGGTTCAGGGATTTCTATCGACCACCTCGAACCATCATCTTAGTTTAGTTTATAACTGTCGGTTTCTGTTGTCATTGGAAATCACATTATTCATTTGAGAGATATGTTTACTTCAATATCATTATGATTACTTGTAAATAAAATAATTTTAACACGATACTCACTGGAAAAATGTAATGAAATCTAACTAACTTCAACAGTTCACTCAATAAGCCTATTTAAACTTCTTTAGCATAGTAATCAAAACGAATAAATATTGATATCAGTAGAGGTTTTTGTGGATATAATAATAATTTCAATAGCTAAGATCATGAGTCATTTGAAATCAGACCACCATGGAAAATCTTGAAGCACTGGAGGGCCATTTCGTCCTATTGTGACGCTCCTTGTGCGCGAAACTGATAGGTCCTGGGTTCGAGACTCGCGAGGCGGGATCGCGGATGCGCACGGCTGAGGAGTCCCACACCAGAACGAATCGGCCGTTCAGTGCTTCTAGGTTTTCCATGGTGGTCTAGCTTCAAGTGACTCACGATATCAACTATTGTAATAGATATTACGTAGAAGATTCTCAAATAACGTTGTTCAGTGTAACGTTGGAATTAACTACATTTCATTCAATGAGACTACTTTTTAATATAATTTTTATATATCAGTTTATCCAAATGTTCTTCAAAGTTCAGTTAAGTAGAACAAAACAGAGCAAAACAGAACAACATTTCATTTTTCACATTAAGGAACATGTTTTTGGTATTTCTTCAAGTTTAAATAACAATACTGAGAGGAAGTTAGATTCATATTTAATGAAATGTATTCAGTAAGAAGAAATATTGGATATTAATTCAGTAGTCGGAAAGTGATGCATTCGGGACGAAGATTAATTTCTTGGATTTAATCCTTAGTGGAATTGTGGATTCTTAATACTAAGGAGTTTCATACTAGAGTGAAAAAATCTGTCAAACACTTCATGGTTTTCAGTAGTTATCTGACCAATGTTAGACCATGATGCAAAACTCTCGAAATATATATCGAAAGGTCGATACTATTATCCTCTATGAACAATCATCGTTCGAAAATGAACAATAATACGATAATGCAATGAGAAGACGTAGTTTATCAATGTTTGAAACTTGTGATAAGAATGTATGTAAGGTGGAACCCTGAAGGGAAAGAAAAAAGAGAGGAACCAAAGAACATAATATGTTGGAAATTGGAAGCGGGCATGAAAAGGATGAATAATAACTGGAAACAACTGGAAAGGTTTGCCCAGGATAGAGGTCAGTGGAAAGTGTTTTTGGGTGACCTGTGCTTCTCCAAGAGGGTAACAGGAGTAAGCAAGTAAATGATGTGTAACGGATAGCTTACATTCAATTTATAGAAAACAAAATCGCAATGTGGATCATTAGTTCAATATCTGAATATCTTGTAATGAACATATTAAATAGCATAATATTGAATTTAAGGATAATAACTAAAATTCACTTAACTTATAATAAGATCTAATGTATTGAATGGGAGAATATTCTTACGTCGTAAAGCGTGGTTAATCTCTACAGTTTTACAGGATGTCTAAGAACAAAACAACATTATCATAAGCATGACACTCCACTTAAATAATATTGGAAATTTAAGAATGATAACTATTTTTAGATTTATGGGGTATTATATATACATGCGGATCGATTAGCTACTAGTAACTATTATTAACAAGGTTAACTCATTATCTAACATGGAATTGTGTACTCGGTTCCCAGTTATACTCTAATTATGAGTGTATGCACAACTACTCAATTATCTAAAATTACAATTTACTGCTTCAAAGAAGAAAGCTTTAATCACTGAACTAAAAGCATATTCACTTGGCAACAACGGATATTATATTATCTACTGTTCACTATTAATGGAATTCAATCATCTAATTCTCAGTCTATTCATTTAGCTTGCAAGCAGTGTCAACTACTTCAACAAAAGAACACATTCACCCTATGAACAAATATCAAAGCAAAACTTGGGTTGTTTTTTGTTCCTATTATATTCAACTGTATTGCATCAATGATTCTACATTGTCTAACAATCATCATAAATCAGTAATTAGTTTATTTCAATGTAAAAAAATCAAATGACTCGTGGAGATAATTTAAAAACACCAGCGTATAGTTTTAATATTTAAAAGATATTACTCATTGTATAAATAACTGTCATTTGTATGTTTCTAAAATCGATAATAGTCCGCCCGGGATGCACATATGCCAATGAGAGACTGATTAGTTTCAGTCCTAAACATCGATTGGGAGATTCAAGCAAACAATAGCAAATGAATTTTATAATCCACCCTATTGCACAAGCAAATAGTTATTAAGATCCAATCGTTAAGTGGATAATGTGATTACGTTTGGAGCGGACGATACTTGGTTTGATTCCTAAAGTGAACATGGAGTAAACATCAACCCTGGTATGCAGGCCTATCCATCTGACGAATCCCAAATAGGACAAAACTTGCGTCCTGGATTCCACTACTAGCCACCATCCATCTCTATTTACAATGCTTGTGAACTAAGAGAATATCGAGACATTCTGCATAGGATGCACATATGCCAATAAGTGACTAATCAAATACATTTCTAAACATCAATGGGAAGATTCAAATAAACAATGCAAAATGAACTTACTTTTGTTCTTCGAGAGATTGTACTCAGTTGTAGAAATTTCAGAATATTAATATTTACTGTGAAGCATAAGAATTAGTTTCTTAATTGAATATCTCTATATGTAAATCGTGTAATCGTGTAATCGTGTAATTAATACATTTCATTTATAATTATTTCATTATATACATTTTTGAAAAAAAGATTAGCCAATCAAATTCGTGTCATTATTTTGCTTTGATTTGATTGGTTAATTAATACATATATATAACCGTTCTCGAATAATACATACTGTTATCTATCCACTTATTTATTCGTCCTTCTGACTATGACCATATATACATATATGTATAGACTTCGTATTATAATTAGACGAAAAGATAACTCAACCTTATAGTTTCTTAGAAGAATTATTATTCTCTATGTAAATACAATTCTAGGAATAGCTCTGTAGGTAATTTTGCTACCGTTGAAAGAAAAGCTCAGTTGAAATTTTGTGTATATAGTGATAGTAAACTAAATTTTTGTAAAAACTTCTAGTTGACTGTTTAGAAGATGGGAGGCACTTATTTTACTTTTGGGTATTAATAAGTTATTTTTATGATGAGTAATGTAAACTTATAAGTTTAATTCACTTGAATCTTCCCATTGATGCTTTAGGACTGAAATTGATCAATCCCAGAGTGAATATCAACTCTGAGATGCAGTTACATCCAGCTGACGAGTCCGAAACAGGACGAAACGCGAGTCCTGGATTCCACTGCTAGCCACTATCCACCTTTGCTTATAAGAAGTTTGTTGTCACACAATCTCAGATTTTTCCGTATAATATCATAACTGTGAGACATAGTAGGAGATATGTACAAGGTGATAGATGTTTCAAGCAGCTGGTTCCTTTCATGGATTTGAATAAACCTAGGACAACAACTGAGACAGAATAATATGAATTCTTTAAATTTCTGGTGGACTAAACAATATATGAACTCAAAAATAGTAATAAAGCTATTGCGTACAAACAGTAATGTTATAATATATCAGTTAAACGTTATAAACACAATTAAAAATTTATAGACGTTACTTAAATCAGCTGGCTTGTGCGTGTTCAGATTGCGTTTGGTATCAGAATCCACAATTATAGATAATTAATGATTCCAAAAAGATTGTTGTGCTACCAGTGTTATAGCCCAACGTACAAATATAATGTGAATGTGGCTGCGGTCTATAAATGTAAACAGTAGATGGTTTAGAGTTCAATTATCACAACTACGAGCAATAGAGAACAAAAATGTGTATATAGTAGTGTATTTGCTAACAGTTAACAGCGTGTGTCATGCTATGCGTGTAACACAACGGGAGAATGTGTGTTCAAGATCATACACTTCAACAACATGTTCAATCATTTTGTGATAAATGTACAGTCTGTACAAAATAAGTTTGTCATGCCTATCTCCACATATTTCGTGGTTTCTTATCAGCTGCTTACAACCGCGTATATATTAAAAGGTAAGAATGAGGTATGATATGATGTGAACCGATTGACATTTACGACGGAGAGAACTACAATGAAAAGGATTATCAATAATAACTGTATATATATGGCTGTGCAAGAAGAGATGCCAGATAATTTGGAGATAGAATTCTAAAACATAAGGGGTTAGGTATGGTAGTAATTGAGTACAGTCCAGAAATATTTAAGATAGATTGTATGGTAATTTTAGAGGTTGTGAAGTATTTACATAAGATTACTAAGATCAGAAATGGATGAGATGGGTCGCTCGATAATTCCTCCTCCATAATTCTGCTTCTGAACCTCATTCAATTAATGCCTCACCGAAACCCCTATATTGTTAAATTCTATTTCAAAATCAACGCACATCTGTTATTGCACAGACATATATACACAGTTATTACTGATAATCTTTTGACTGTAGTTCTCTCCGTCATCAATGTCACTTGTTTCACATTATACCATACCTCAATGTTTCCTTTTATTATTATAGGGGATGTTTATTGATCACTGATATATTCAAAGTATTGTCCGCATAAATCGGAACAACCAAATGGGCAATGTTGAGGTTAGGCCTAGATTATGTGTCAACGAAGGTGAATAGGCTAATGAAGTTCGAGATTTTTACGTTAGCCATCGCCTATCAAGGAGAGCAATGTCAACTGGTAAGTTGGAAGAAGGTTAATGAAGACCATACCAAGACGTGGTATTAGTCGATGTAGTCAGTGATTGATTGTTGAATTGATCCACCTTTATAGATGCGTACTAATCAGTTAGGGTCATTTAGCTAGATAACCACAATCAGTAACTGAAGTTCTTAGGAAGTATGATTCAGAATCGATCAAAATGTTGCACTCATTTTTAAGTTTTCTAACTATACTCTATGTAATCAGTCTTCTCCGTTACCAACTTTTACTACATAATTTCGATTTTATTTACTATTTCATTTATTTATGTGGTAACGACAACTCGAACCAATGCATATTTGCACTGGGCTCTAAGTTAATGATGACTGACTGATGAAAATGAAGGTTTCAACTGGTTGAATTCAGATTAAAATCTCTCGAGTTAAGTTAATTGATATTAATGAAATGAAAAGATGAAATAATTTCAGCCAATATTTCTCTTATCGATTCAGTGTAAATTTCGTTTAACATAACATGCGTGAACTTTCGTTCAGTGAGACAATTATAGTTCTTGTATCAATTCAGTTTGTATGATATTACAGTAAAATGTGTTATGTATATGACACCGTTAAGTGTCTAAAAATCAGTATGGAAATGATTGTACTTCCCTTTAAGGACGGTATGGTTTCAGGATTTGTCTGGTGAGAGAGACAGAATGAATAAATCCACATTGCACCACCAGTTTTCCATGTTCTTACTTTATGTCTTGCCTGTTACATTAGTTTCAAATTACCAAGTAAAAACAGTTCGACTCCAGACTCCAACATAGTCGACACATACATAACAGCAACGAAACGTCACGAGAAACGACAGAGACGACTGTTCAGACATAGTAGCAGTTATACACTATATCAAATAACATTATCTTTTTAATGGTAATAGATTCTTGAGTTATGGGAACTTAAAGATAATTCATTGATCAGTGAAGATAATCACATAGATTACTTATAAAAATTTAGTCGAGTATCAATTGCATACTGGCTTTAAACTGTCATTACAGAGATATATCTTCTATTTCAGTAATGATAAATCCCCTTATGTTACATTTTTCTTATACAAACAACTAACAAATAGTTATTCATCCTTGATATACTTCTCTACAAATTTTTGCATTGTTATTATTTACTCTTGAATTGCCATAAATCAAATGTGTATACATCATGCGATTACTGTTTGGTATGTCGGATCGTATCTTCCTCTCTCTCTCTCTCTCTCGCCCACTTACTCACCCACTCAGTCGCATACCCACTAACTAGATGTTTGACTAAACTTAGTAGTAAACAGTCAACTGTTTTTGATAGTTTCTATCTCTCACATTTGTTTTCTTCATGTCACGTAATCACATTTAAAAAGTATAGTTCAGTTGAATGAATTCAAATACATTAATCGTTATCATAACACTAGGGAAATGGAACTGCCTCCAGTGGACTGTATAATCACATCTAATATTAACTACTTTGGAATGTTGCTAATGACAGTCTGATCACCAAACCACATATATATATATCGTAGTGGATGCTACTCACAAGATTGTTTTTAAGGAGTGTGTATTGGAAGGTGACGTCAAAGTTACTACAGTTGTCAGACAAAGTGTATTGAAAGCACGGCGTTGGCATGAAATGTGGAAACCAGACCAGAAGGGAGTTCAGAATAAACAACAAACCAAAAGATGTAAAAGGAAGATTGAATGCTATGTATATTTAATATGTAAATACTACGTAACGTCTCACAATGAATACAAATTCCGCCTGCCTACTGACTTGTTTTACAACATATTTGGTATAGTTTGTGAAGAAATAATTAAATGATTTAGTCAGCTAGTTATATCTGTTGTTTCAAAATGGTTAATTGTATGGTATTGTAGATAAATCCACTACATGTCATCGAATTCGGGGCTTTCAACACTAAGTATAAGTCACTAAAGCAATTAACAGGGACAAATATAACAGTATGTTAACCGGAATTAGAATAGGTTTAAATTATCCCGTTGTTGACATTCAGGACAGATGTCTGAATAGTATTTATTGATATATGTTCATTCTGAGCTTTTTTTATGGTGAAACTTTAGGAGGAAGCCAAAAGAGGAATTTTAGAGTTGAAAATTAATGTAGGAGGAATAGTAGGAATTGAAGAACGAAGTTGATTATGAATACAGGGATCTTGAGTGCTGTTAGAAGTATGAGGGTGGTTGTCGCTTCCCGGTTGCCCACACCGTGGAAGGGTTCTTCTGGAGGTACCTGAAAAGGAAATAGGATTAGAGGTGGTCTTAGTGACGTGAGGATGCGACCACAGTGCCTAAGGTACAACTGCTTCAGGCCAGTCACATACGACGTTTCTGTGAGTAATTTTCATGTTAGCTCCGTACTTGTTCAAACCTTACCGCCGGAGACGGATATCTGTAGGATAAGGCGAGATATGCATTTTGAGGGTTGACCTTATCTGACCTCACCCTTCCTTGTGGCAAGACAGCATCGGTGTTATGCTGGTTGTCTGAAGGAAACATTTAACTGCCATCACACCTCTATACAGTCAGCAGTATGACTTCGCCCTAGGGCCTCGGATTTACTGCTTTTATTCTTATCACTCTCCATCCGACCTATCTGGTATGATAGGACCTTGAAGAACGATTGTTCTAGCCATTATAGCTCGATTGGTTCATCACGATAGGCCAGCCCGACCACCACGTCAATGTAGCAACAACTGTTGTGGCATCAGTGCTTGAAGTCACTAACTTCTGGTCTGAGCCATGTTGGGAGATGCACACTAATTAGTTGGGGTTCGTGTGACTATTGTAACCAATGGTTGGAGACTCTTGGTGACACGGCTCACAATCGATCACAATGGCGTAGGTGTATACACTTTCTGTCTTCCCTTAAACTATGAGATTAAAATGGCTTCATATCTTTCTACGTACTAATTATTTCTTACTGTACTATATCCTTATATGCAATCTTTCTTTTTAT